AGCTGTCTGGGAATTCAGCCAAAGAAAGAAGAGGTTGCAAAAACTCTAGGGACTTGAAAGAAAAGTAGCTGGCATTAGCTTGGTCCTCACTTTAAACTAAAATTAAAATAAAAGACAGACATGTACAGTAATCTCTCTTTTAAAGAAAGAATAGAATGTCTCTATAGTAATGTCAAGTGGAACAATTTGATCCTGGCCCAAGTTATGCAGCTGTTCCACAGGAAAATAGCAAAAGGCTTCAGTCCAAAGCAGGCAAATAAGGCGTGATTGTTCATAAACAGTCACTGGGGCCCTCACATTTAGAACAAAGAAAACAGCATTAGTATACAGGAGGCTAGGTTAGGAACATGAGTCTCAGTATGAGATGAGTCACACCATCGTTTTCTAACTTATACAAAAAGCAGTAGTGCGTTTTTTGTCTATTAACTTGCCTAATAACCATTAATTATTCACTCTTTAGGAAATCATATATTGGTCACATATTTTTAAGAAACAATAAAGATTTGTTCTTGGGTTAAAGAAATTATTGAAGTCAGCAACAAAATGTGAAGAAATCATAGATTATTATCCATTTCTACTTCTCACCTGCTCATTAAAGGGGGATCAGATAAATGGTAATAATAGCAGAAATTAGGTACTTCAGGAGTCAATTAGAAGCTTTGAAGCTAAGGCACAGAGTTGCTTCTCAGTGAATCCAAAATAACAGAATGAGGAATCAGGTGTACCGGAGAACTTTGACTGTGATTAACAGAATAAAATAGGAAATTCAAACCTGCCCCTTGGGTAAATGTGATATTACAACTTCATTTTTACTCATGCTCTTTACAGGTTCTTTCGATCCTATCTTAAAATAAGAACAGCCTCTCTACTATTTTTTATTTTAAAACTTCTGTTTGATGCAGTGTTCTTTTCTCAGCCCTTTTCAATTGTTCATGATTCAGCTTCTGAAATGGGTGGTCTTAATTTCTTTGCCTTCCCATCACCTAACTCCCTGATTGTCGTTGTTATTTTTCTGTCACTAAGTTGTATCTCTCTATGTGACCCCATGGACTGCAACACCCCAGGCTCCTCTGTTCTCCACTATCTTCCACAGTTTGCTCAAATTCATTTCAACTGAGTTGGTGATGCTATCTAACCATCTAATCCTCTGCTGCCCCCTCCTCCTTTTGCCTTCAGTCTTTCCCAGCATCACAATCTTTTCCCGTGAGTCGGCTCTTTGCATCAGGTGACCACAGTTTTGGAGCTTCAGCTGTAGCAACAATCCTTCCAATAAATATTCAGGGTTGATTTCCTTTAGGATGGACTGGTTTGATCTCCTTGCAGTCTGAGGGACTCTCAAGAGTCTTCTCCAGCACCACAATTCTAAAGCATCAGTTCTTCTTTGGCACTTAGCCTTCTTTATGGTGCAACTCTTAAATCCATACATAACTACTAAAAAACCATAGCTTTGACTATAATAACTCCCTGATTAATCCATTTTCAGTTTGCCTTCTGTTCTATTAGCTCTAGTGAGACTTGTTTTCTTCATGATCAGAAAAAGCATTCTCTTGCTTTTTTTGGTCCTATCTGCCTCATCTGGCATTGTTGGAGATGGAAAGTAAACTAGAGAGGCAAGCAATGAGACTGTCTGTAAAGATGCTAATGTTTTCATTTGTTGGAAATGACAGTTACTTTGAAAATGCAGAAGAGTGGATTTTAACATGATTAGGATACAAGAGAGGTAGTGGTCTAAAGGCAAAAAGGAGTCAGAGAATTTGGCTATATCTTTAATGTCAATGGCTTGGAGGCCCACAAGGAAAGATCATAAAAAGAGAGTTGGGAATAAGAATATAATACAGTGAATAAGTCAGTGTACATTTACTTTTGGACCATAGCATAGAGAATAAAACAGTATGATCTATAATGATAAAGATTGAATATAATAATCATTTTAACCCATATGGAGCTTAGGAGCTAATTGCTCAGAAGATACTATACTAACTAGAGAACTTTTTATATGACTGTAGACTATGTTAGAAATGGTCAGCTTGGTAGGAATTTGGCAAGTTTCCAGAATGGGCACAAATACAGAAGAAAGCCTGATACAAAAAAAAGAAAAACAACAGTGAAATGTGTCTTGAGATGAGCCAGTTCTTCACCTTCAAGCATCTAGAGCTTCAACGTCAGTGCTGCTCATTATTTGTAGTGCCGATTCTAATTTTTCAAAAGTGACTTTGACTAACATAAGTGACAATTTAGACTCAGCAATAGAAGTAGCAGAAAATAGCTGAAGATATGTGATCTTTGGGCAATGATTGAACTAAGTTTAAATCCTGACTCAACCATTTAAAATCTGGATGAATTGGGAAAATTGGTTAACACTGAGCTTTAGTTTTCCTTTCTGTAAAATAAGAAGCCTTCTTATTTCCATTACCGACAGCAAAGTGTTATTAATCAGGATCTTTCTGAGAAAGATGACATTTTCTATTTCTTAAACTTCTGAGGCCTTTGTATTTTTAAATAAAATAAATATATGAGATTGCTGTTTTTCATTCATCTGCAGTGCAAAGGATTATTGCATATCCGAGCTTATTTCTAGATAACTGAAACAGAGACCCACAATAAGGCACTTTTATTCAACCATTTCCGAGCTGAGGAAAATGGATTACTTACAGAGCTAATTACTTAGATCACAACATAAGTATTCACTAAAAAAAAAAAAAAAGATAGTGAAAGTGGATATAGAATTAAAAAGAAGATCATTGACAGGTAACTAGATGCTGGAATGTATTAATATCCAAGCATTCTATATATTATACTTCCCATCTTCACCTCATTTAACTGTGTAAGTTGTACACATATTCTACATGTACACATATGTACTTTGGGGCAGAACTATGGAAAGAAGGTAAAAGTCAAACTCCTTTGCTATGCCCTGATCCTGATCATGTTTCTTTATCATACCTCCAAATGCTGACCTTTGAGGTTACAGAAGAAACAGAAGCAAGAGAGAGACAGGGAGAAAGGAAGAGGGAAAGCTGGGAAAAAATAATAAAAAGGAACGGGAGAGGAAATGGAAGGGAAAGTGAAGAAAGAAGCTCTGGAATGAGAAATACAGAATTGGGAGTAAAGAAATTGGATTTCAGTATGTCTAAAGCAGATTAAATTTGCTACACTTAAAGTACTGAGTGATTAAGAGAAAGTCAGAGTCAAATCCAACTCTTTGAATCCCCATGGACTGTATAGTCCATGGAATTCTCCAGGTCAGAATACTGGAGTGGGTAGCCTTTCCCTTCTCCAGGGGATCATCCCAACCCAGGGATTGAACCCAGGTCTCCCACATTGCAGGCAGATTCTTTACCAACTGAACTATGAGGGAAGCCCCTAAAGTACTGAACTTATAGCTAAAAGCTCTGCTTTAGCTGTAATACTGAAACACAGTCACATTTAGATAGCACACTATCTAAATGTGACTTTTAGTTGAAATAATTGTTAGTTTTTAGTTGAAATAGTTGATAGTCAAAAAGTGTTTTCTATAAGCAATTTAAGTTTATCAGCAGTAAGAACTATGAACGTGAATTGCACAGGATATATAGAGTAAAGCTACTTTGAAAAAAATTCCTCCCTTTCAAGATCTAAAATGCCTTAAATGTTTCTTAAAAGAAAAAAAAAATAGATAAATTTACAAAATGCTCTTTAAGTCAGTATATTTTTAATCTCTAGAAAATAATTACTGTAAGAGAGAACAGTTCTAAAATATCAATACTGTGACAGCAAAAGCATAAATTCACATAGTGTGTTAAAAAGTATAAGACAATAAAATTCAGGAAGCTGAAATTTCAGGCTTCTGTATTAAAATTACTTTAGAAAAGTTCCACATGTGTTACTATGAAATCTACACTTAAATATAAATATTAGAAACAAATTTTTAGTAAATAAGTTTGATTTGCACAAAAACTATCCCATACATTTATATATGTTTGCTGTTGTTTAGTCACTGAGTTGTTTCTGACTCTTTGAGACCTCATGGACCTTTGAGAAGCCTGCTAGGCTTCTCTGTCCGTGGGATTTCCCAGGCAAGAACACTGGAGTGGTTAGCCATTTCCTTCTCCAAGGGATCTTCCTGAACCAGGGATGGAACCAGAATCTCCTGTATTGGCAGGTGGATTCTTTACCACCTGGGAAGCCTATAGTTATATACAGAGGACAATTAAATTCCTCCCATTAAAATTTAAACAGAAATGCAAATCAATGGAAATATCTTAAAAGATCAAACAAATGACTTTCAGTTCCAAGTAGAGTGTTACCATACAATGATCAAAGCACTTTCCAAAGAAATAATCTTTATTTGATACTCCATACTTGAATTTTCTATTAATATATTTTCTATTGATATATTGATATATTTCCAAGAGTTAACTGTTTATAAACATAAATGTCAAACATAAAATTTTAGAGTCACAGTGATGTTAGAACTCATTATTCTAACAATGAAATCTCTTTTTAATTGAAAATGTTCAGTCTGTGACCCTTTCATTCACATTACCTCCAATTATAACACATCAAGAAATTATGTTTCAGGGGGTTACATTAGAAGTATAGATTTGATTTCTCTTATGAAAATGATTTTCCATGTAACTAAAACATGGACATATTTTGAGGATTCAATATTTTCAGAGCTTTTCATGAGAGAATTAAGTTCAGCATATGTAACTTCTATCAATCGGATGATGTAAAAACAGTGACTGATGAAGTCTATACTCCTTTCAAGAAGAAATAGTGGGGGAAAAAGGGAAAAAAATCACAGTTGGAAATCTTCCCAGAAATTTCACTAAATGATGAAATACAAGACCAATCTTCCACAGACACTTAATGAAGACATGGTTCAGGGGGCTTTCTTTTCTGAGATCATTTTGCCCAGCAATAAAAGGCACAAGTTGTGGATTTCTGCAGTTAAAGTCTGCAATCAAAGCAAGATAGAATAAAAAGTAAAAGAATTTATTGCTCATTAAATCACTTACAGTGGTTTTCCTTTGGATTCACAAGTCAAAATTAAAGGCTGTCCTTCTTGTGGAAAAGGAGTGGATGGTATAATCTTAACTGATGGTGTATCTAGAAAAAAAGAATATTGAGAAAGGTCATTAAACACATGTAAAGCTATATATTTAATAACTGTACATCATGGTGTATGTTCCAGCCATTTCTTATAATTGTATTTATTTATAAAAGGCCTCTTAGTGAAACAGGGTCTGAAGTTTAAGAAGCTACCATCCTGTCCAGGAAAAGCTTACAAAAATATCTGAGTATCTTATGAGGGCCACTGCTGTATTATTTCTGAAATCTGAATTTAAAAGTGAAATTGCAAAAGTAGTTCAGATGAATATCAAGCATTTCATACAATTGTTTCTTCAACTATTATAGATGGCTATGAATACTATTATTATGGACTGAATGCATTTATGTGCATTTGAATAACAACACTTTCATTGTTGCAGGAATACCAAGGACTAACAATAAGGAATCTTAAAAGAACTTGAGACCACTGTCTCACAAGAATTATGCAAAGTCTTTTTGAAAATTCAGTGATGCAGACCTTACCACACACTGTTTGGTTTAAAGTACAGTTAGCAAATCATCTGAAATAGTTATTTAGAACATTAATAAAAATCAAAATTTTGTTGTATGTGCTATAACATAATTGTTAGAAAGTTATTTCCATTTAACAATAAAATCATCCTTGGCAGAAGAAGATACAAAAATACCTTGAGACATTTATATTTATAACTTTCATGTCATGTCGGTCAGTTCAGTCGCTCAGTTGTGTCTGACTCTTAGTGACCACGTGGACTGCAGCATGCCAGGCTTCCCTGTCCATCATCAACTCTCAGAGCTTGTTCAAACTCATACCCACCGAGTTAAGTCATGTAATGTCCTTTAATCAATCAGTCGCTGTTTTTACATCATAATTACATTATGGAGTCAATCATATTACATAGAAAAAAAGGAAAATAAACTTAAAAAAAAAGAATGTAAACAGGCTCATTCCTTTATGAGACATTGCTGGCCCTAGCTTTGTGTGGCTCCCAGTCAGCAAGGAACTCTCTCCTTTTCTTTCCATATCCTCAACAATAAACAAAATAAGCTATGAATGATTCATGGAGTCACAACTATCCTCACCCTTCCCTTAGTTGTGAACTATCCTTAGGTTATATTCATACTCTCATGGCAATTAAATAAGAATCAATTGTGTACTTTTTAGGTTACTTATTCAGGAAAGTATTATTCAGATTTATCCTATAGAGAACAATAAACTGAAATTATAAAAAGAAAGAGGAAAGTGAAAGAGGAGAGTGAAAAAGCTGACTTAAAACTCAACATTCAAAAAACTGAGATCATGGCATCTGGTCCCATCACTCCTTGGCAAATAAATGGAGAAACAATGGAAACAGTGACAGACTTTATTTTCTTGGGTTCCAAAATCACTGCAGATAGTGACTGCAGCCATGAAATTAAAAGATGCTTGCTTCCTGGAAGAAAAGCTATGACCAACCCAACCTGGATAGCATATGAAAAAGCAGAGACATTACAGATAATGTAATGTAATAGCATTACAGTCAAAGCTATGATTTTTCCTGTAGTCATGTATGGATGTGAGAGTTGGACTATAAAGAAAGCTGAGCGCTGAAGAATTGATGCTTTTGAACTGTGGTGTTGGAGAAGACTCTTGAGAGTCCTTTGGACTGCAAGATCAAACCAGTCAATTGTAAAGGAAATTAGTTCTAAATATTCATTGGAAGGACTGATGCTGAAGCCAAAGCTCCAATACTTTGGCCACCTGATGCAAAGAACTGACTCATTTGAAAAGACCCTGATGCTGGGAAAGATTGAAGGTGGGAGGAGAAGGGGATGACAGAAGATGAGATGGTTGGATGGCATCACCGACTCAATGGACATGAGTTTGAGTAAACTCCCGGAGTTGGTGATGGACAGGGAAGCTTAGTGTCCTTCAGTCCATGGGGATGCAAAGAGTTGGACACAACTGTGTAACTGAACTGAACCGAGAACAGTAAACAAGATCCTGTGGAAGGCCTTATACCATACTTATAAAATATTTATACTTTTCAAATGCATTTTTTCTCAATCCCCTAAAGAAAAAAATACATTCAAGATAATCAACAATAATATCCCACTTATAAATAGGCATTCCATGTACACCATGGTGAAATACTATAGCATAAAATAACCAAGGAAGAAAAATTATTTCAAAGAAATATGATGCATATTGTCATATTTTTAAACAGTAGAAAAACAATAAAGAATTGAAATATACTCAAAGTTTTATTACCATCATCATATTAATGGAACCAGTTACCATGATGATCTTATAATTTTGTCTTCCAAGTAGAACACTTTTAAAAGTGAAGAGGAAATATCAGTTTAATTATACAGAGAAATAAGTATGAACCAGAATGATTCTGAGAAAATGAGGGCTATTGTATCTTAAACTTTGACCATATGTAACACATACAAAATTCAATTTCTTCCTGACATAAAAATAAAGCTTCAGTTCCAGAGAAAAATGTTACAGAAGAAAGATCAGAAAAGTGTGATCCTTGGAAAGAGAGTTGTTGTTAGCATGTGTATCTGTTGTTGCTATTCAATCAGGGGTGTCTGACTCTTTGCGACCCCATGGACTGCAGCGTGCCAGGATTCCTTGTCCTTCACCATATTCCAGAGCTTGCTCAAACTCATGCCCATTGAGTCGGTGATACCATCCAACCATCTCATCCTCTGCAGTCATCACTGAAGATGGCGACTGCAGCCATGAAATTAAAAGACAGTTCCTCCGCGGAAGAAAAGCTATGACCAACCTGGACAGCATATTAAAAAAGAGAGACATTACTTTGCCAAAAATGTCCATCTAGTCAAAGCCACGCTTTTTCCAGTAGTCATGTATAGATGTGAAAGTTGGACTATAAAGAGAGCTGAGCACCGAAGAATTGACGCTTTTGAACTGTGGTGTTGGAGAAGACTCTTGAGAGTCCCGTGGACTGCAAGGAGATCCAACCAGTCCATCCTAAAGGAAATCAGTTCTGAACATTCATTGAAAGCACTGATGCTGAAGCTGAAACACCAATAATTTGGCCACCTGATGCGAAGAATTGACTCATTTGAAAAGACCCTGATGCTGGGAAAGATTAAAGGCAGGAGAAGAAGGGGATGACAAAGGATGAGATGGTTGGATGACATCACTGACTTGATGGATATGAGTTTGAGTAAGCTCCAGGAGTTGGCGATGGACAGGAAAGCCTGGTGTTCTGCAGCCCATGGGGTGACAAAGAGTCGGACATGACTGAGAGACTGAACCGAACTGATCTCATCCTCTGTCGTCTCCTTCTCCTTCTCCTTCTGCCTTGAATCTTTGCCAGCATCAGGGTCTTTTCTAATGAGTCAGTTCTTCACATCAGGCGGCCAAAATACTGGAGCTTCAGCTTTATCATCAGTCCTTCCAAAAATATTCAGGATTGATTTCCTTTAGGATTGACAGGTTTGATTTCCTTTCAGGCCAAGGGACTCTCGAGTCTTCTCCAACACCACAGTACAAAAACATAACTTCTTTAGTGTTCAGCCTTCTTTATTGTCCAATTCTCACATCAATACATGACTACTAGAAAAACCACAGGTTTGACTAAACAACCTTTGTTGGAAAAGTGTACCTCTGTGTGTATCTGCGGTGATTAATTTTACATATCAATTTGACTGCACCATGGTGTATCCAGATATTTGACCAAACATTCATTATTCTGGGTATTCTAGTGAGTGTTTTGGGAAGCAATTAACATTTCAATCAGTAGACTGAGTAAAGAAGATTTCTATCCATAATATGGGTGAAGTTTATCTGGTAAAATTAAGGCCTGAATAGAACAAAAAGGCTATATTGTTCAGTTGCCTAGTTAGGTCCAACACTTTGTGACCCCATGGACTGCAGCACACCAGGCTTTCCTCAAAGAGGAAAAGAGTTTGCTCAAAAGTATGTCCACTGGATTGAGTTCATGATGCCATCCAAATATCTCATCCTCTGTTGCCTGCTTCTCTTCTTGCTCTCAATCTTTTCCAGCATCAAGGTCTTTTCCAATGTTTCAGCTCTTCACAAAGTATTTGGCCACCACATATTCTGGTGGCAAAAGTACTGGAGTTTCAACTTCAGCATCAGTCCTTCCAATGAATATTCAGTGTTGATTTCCTTTAGGATTAACTGGTTTGATCTCCTTATAGTCCAAGAGACTCTCAACAGTCTTCTCTAGCACCACAATTCAAAAGCATCAATTCTTCAGTGCTCAGCCTTTACATGGTCCAACTCTAACATCTGTACATGACTGCTGGAAAAACCACAGCTTTGACTAGATGGACCTTTGTCAGCACAGTAATATCTCTGCTTTTTAATATGCTGTCTAGTTTGGTAATAGCTTTTCTTCCAAGGAGCAAGCATCTTTTAAATTTCTGGCTGCAGTCACTAACTGCAGTGATTTTGGAGCCCAAGAAAATAGTCTTTCACTTTTTCCATTGCTTCCCCATCTATTTGCCATGAAGTGATGGAACTGGATGCCATTATCTTAGTTCTTTGAATGATGAGTTTTAAGGCTGACCCTCCCACAAATAGAAAATTTTTCCTGACAGCATTTGAGCTTGCACATCAGTCTTTTTCTTTCTGCAAGTCAAGGTGAAATAGCTGCTCTTCCTGGAACTTGAGCCTGCTGGCTCTCAGACTAGAACTATAGCATCATCTCTTCTGGTTTCTCCAGATCTCACACTGGTTTCTCTTTGGACTCACACTGGAATTGAGGCAGGAGATAGGTGGGATCCAGACAGAACAGTTTCTCTCTTGTGGACAGAAATCCATAATAGCAGAAACTCTATAAAAGCAGGATGATGAAGGAGGCTGGGCCCTGTCTCAGTAGGAGATAAAAGACCATATATCCCTCATTCTCAAAGTCAAGGTGACCTCCATGACTACACAAATGCAGAAAAGCTCCTTGGAGGTAGAAAAAGGGAGGAGGTATCAGCTCATAGTGATGTCAACTACCCATAATCCTTTTCATTAGAATCCATCT